TAGTATACAATTATGTTAATTAAATATTCACTAATAATTACACTAGTTTTAGAATAAAAAGCAGAGTTGAGCAAATAGTTTATTTTATTGGCTAGATAAGGTTTTTAATGAGGCAACAAATAATGCATATTAAAGATATGTATATTCTTTTTTTCTTCACTAAGATTTTTTCACGAGATTTTTCCTACTAAGATTTTGACAAGACACATTATCTATATATGGATATTCAAGGGAAGTGTTATAAAATATTATAGTGTAAATGTCCACTATTTCAAGAATATGATATCATGGATTATGTGATAGTTCAAAAAATTAATTGTAAGCTCCAAAAGATTTATTGTATATCGGAAGAAAGAAATTGTTCATAATATTGGGGTTATAATAAGTCTCAAAAGAAACTTTTTAAGTTTCGGGGGAATAAAAAAGAAAAAATTATAATATTAAGACTACAAATTATGACAAGATTTAATATCTTTAAATTACCACAATAAAAGCGGATTATAAATATTTCGTAAAAGATTATTCATATTTTTCTCTGGTTTATTGTATACAAATATGAGAATAATGATGGAATCAGATGCAAAAGTAAACTAGAAGTTTATTAGAATAAGGATCAGTTGGCATGATCGTTTTGCCATTTAAATTCAAATGTAATGCAAAAGAAATTAAGAATTCATGTGGCTAAATGTTGAAGAAATAAAAGATTCTTCAACAATCTTCTTGAGTTGATTGTTCTCATGATAAAATGATCATTGTACCAACTAGGGTGGAATTGTATTCCCCAAAATTGTTTGAAACATATAAAAAAAAAGTAAATATGGACCCATTTATCAGTCATGTGAACCATTTATTATTATATGATTTAATATATGCATCTATGGGATGAGCACATGTGTGTGTTTGTTATCAACTTGCAATTTCGATTTTGCAAGGTTGTTTGCTCGAATTGTTAAATTAAGAGCACAGTTTCAAACTATAAAATTTTGTTGATAATGTTGGTTAGTTTGGCAGAAATTGCATGCCTCCATTATAATTAAATCATTGCTTATGAGAACAAAACTCTCAAATAAAATTTAGTATGAAATAAGTTTATTTAACATATAGCAGTACATATACGCATCAAACTAACAAGGTTCTCCCATCGCAATTGGTTCAAGATCATGATTAAATAATTTCCATCTATTTTTTTTAAATGTGTAGTATCTGATTTAATTCTTCACCGTGCATAAAGATGGATCCCCAAACGAAGTTGGGGGTAAATGTTAGATTTTTCTAACATTAAGGGGAGATATGATTAGAAGTTGAAAATTATGTGTGGAATAAAGTGTAAACTTCGCTTGAAGTTTAAGAGATAATCGTTTGTAAAATGTTGCAACCATCGTCAGATGTATTTCTGACCCTATGTTTGAATTATTGGAAATGCTCTAATAAAAGATTCTTGAAGAATAGAGTCTATGAAACCCATGAAGCATGATAGATCAAATCAATTTCAAATATAAAAATTTCCTGAGGAAGGAGATGAGTAAATGATCAAGATGGTCATGATAATGAGGCAAGTGCTTTAAAAGAGCACCTTGACATAACAGTTCATAAAACCTTCACAAAGGTTCATGTACCTAAATATGATGAAAAATGAAGAGATATTTATGATTTTGTTATATTGAAATTGATATCAAATAACTGTCGGTAGAATTTTTAATAAAATGAAGCGATTGATATTAAAAATGTAATAAGAATCTTGAATTTAAAACTGTCAAATAGAGTTGACAGATAAATGATTGATAGATAAGATACGCAATTCATGTATATTTTCTTTCACTTTGGAAAATTTATGGTATGGATTTAGTCTATAACTAAGGTATATACGTGTGGGATACAACGAATTATTGTGCAAAAATATTGTAAGATATAAAGTATAAACTGTGCCTTGAGGCACAAAGATTTTTCACAAAAAATCGACATTATGTTATAGATCCAAGAGATCAGGTCATTAGCGAGAGACTATATCCCTAGCTAACTTACAGAATTCCTAGCTAACATAATTTTTTCTAGGAAAATGACCGTAGCAAGCTTTTATAGCTAATACGCTCTTAGCTAAAATTTTGCTTGGAAAACGTTGTTAGCCTAGCTAATTTAGCTAGAATATTTTGCTAGGCAACATATCCAAGCAAATAATAGCTAGGATTATTCCTAGGTAACTTCATTGCAAACAACTCTCTTTTGCTTGGACATTTTCCAAGCTAATGTGTAAACATCCTAGCTTTTTCTTGGCTTGATTTGTTATGTTTTCATGACCCCTAGCTTACTTTTAGAAGCAACGAAAATTACTTAAATTTCACATATCATGAAATAAATAATTGAATCCATTCAAATTACACTAATTCATTAACTATACTTATGCATTTAATTGCACAACCATTTCAAAATGGTATGTCCTTCAGAAATGAATAACATGTATACAAATAATATTGAACATATCTGAAGTTTAAAAACATAAAAATTAGCTCCATGTCAACTTAAGCTCAAAAACATCAACTTAAGCTCCTTGTTGGCATTGTCCTCCAACTTAACGTCTCCAGCTCCATTTGTTGACATGTTTCTTTCAATTTAAGGTCTCCAGCTTCACTTGTTGGCATGTTTCTTCAAATTTAATGTCTCCTTATATTACTTCAATACCATATTCATCCCTTGGTGTAGAAATCCCATCAACCTTCTCCTTAATAAGTTTTTTATAAATGTGTTCTGAAAAAAAGAAGATAATTAGTCATTTTGAATAAATAAACAAATCAAATAACAAGTAAAGAGACAAATAATTTGAACCAAGTAAATTGGTA